GGCGCGCCGGGATAAGCGCTTCTGGGGGGGGCGGCGGCGTCCGGGTTGGGGACTCCTGTCCCTTGCCTGGACTGCCCGGGACTTCGGTCGCTGCTTTGCGTCTCCAGCCGTTGGGACTGAACTACTGCGGGCCCCGCTGAGCCCCCGGGGTCAGGGCGGCGGCGGCGGCTCCCCCTCTCTCGAGACTGGTTGGACGGCCTTCGCCTCCGAGCTGCGAGGATGCAGCTGGGCGAAGCTCGTTCCCTTCCGGCGCGTACATCAGAGCAGCGGTGTGTCCATCGGGCATCGTGGACACGAGCTCCCGCCCTGTCCCTCGATTGCAGTGACGACGGGGGACGGGAGAGCCTCAGTCCGGCACGCCCGGTGGATACCAGGCAACCTTAGAGGCTTCCCAGGGCTGGAGGTGTGCCTGCGCTCCCGCTCTTCCTTCCCGGGCGCTGCATCCGGGACTGCTTCAGTTCGCGTGCAAGCCGCGTGAGAACTGATGTGGTCACTCCGCAGGCGCGTGGCCTTTTGCTTCCTTCCTCTCCCCACCCCCGTTTCCACGTCGGCATTGCGGAAAATTGAAGGACGCGTTCGGGAACCCAGCGTCCTCCGAATTGCTTCCCTCAGCCCAACATCGTGGCAACGTCAGAAGTGGTGGACTTGTAGTTCAAGAAATCTGGCGTTCACCAGGTTGCCTATCCCAGCTAGGCAGCGATAGGAGACGGAAGGGAGGCGCTAGACGGCTGCTTCGGCCACAGCGGCGCCCTCGCCTGAACCTTGCCCGGTGCTGACAAGCGAGAGGGTGCTGTTGGGTAACCAAAGCGGCTGCCTCTGCAGCCTAGGAGCCCGCCCTTGGTTGTCCAGTCAAGCAAAGCCCCACATCCGCTGAAGAACTGAGGCAGAGGCGCATCTGTGTCAGGGGAAGGCTTCCCTTCCCAGTTGCTTTCTGCAGAGGAGCTGTCGAGTCATGTTCTCGGCGCTGGCAGAGCTGTGGATAATTTACAAAAGCTCCAGAGTGGGTCCTTATTCCTTTAACCAGAATTATACAAACGGGAGTTCTTAATTAGTTTTCTGATGCCAGGGAAGGGTGGGAAGCTTAGTGCTAAATCCAGATCATACTGTAGAAACTCCTGAAGGTGCCCTGAGTCCTGCCTTGGTGGCAGCTTAGAGCTGGTCCAAGAGGGGCCTTCATGAATGTCCCTTTAAAGGTAGTGTGCATTATGGAGCTTGAACGATTCAACTTGGAAGATGCGCCAGAGATCCAGCAGGAAGAGGAGCAAAGTGAGGACAAAAGCAGGTGCCCTTGGATCAAATGCAGCATCCATGACACAGTTGCTAAATGGATGCTTCCTGAAGAGGCCAGAGCAACTTACCTTGAAAGAGCTAATTGCATCCCACCACCCATTTTCATCCTGGCTATCAGCTTAGCTGAGGTAAGAAGCTCTCGTGAAATCCACAAATACTCTTTCTTTTATTTGTATATTTCTAAATCTATGTTTCATGGTTTTTACTGTAGATGGAATGTTCCAGAATCTCTTGTTTAATCTATAGAATTAGTTTTCATGAACAGGTGACTCTAATTCCTTTTTTACTAGTATTATTTTTTAAAAATCACAATAGACCCTTTATTTCTGAATTTAATGTTTCACTGAGTCATAAGGGTAGAATGTCAAGGGGAAGGATCCAATCAGCCCTTCTTCCCTGATATGCTAGTCTTCAGTGTGTAGGGATTCTTTATTTCTGCAGGCATCTTCCACTGTGCTTTCTATCTGGTTCTGGTTTAGGTGCTTTGCAGAATGCGTCCTCTTACAGAAAGTGCATTCCGAAAGTATTCAGACCCCCTTCACTTTTTTCAATTTTTTAATGTTGCAGCCTGATACTACAATCGTTCAAATTCATTTTTTTTCTCATTAATCTACACTCA